CTGCGTGCCCGAGCCCCGCCGGCAGCCCCGCCGCACGGCTGGCCCCGCAGAGCCGCTGACAGCCCGGCCCGCGGCCCATCGCCCCGCAGCCCCCGGGCCGCAGCGGCATGGCGGTGAGCATGGACGATGATGTGCCGCTGATCCTCACCCTGGACGACAGCGGCAGCAGCGCCTCGGCCCCGCTGGACGAGCCGGATCGGGAGGAGCTGCCGAACGAAAGTAAGAGCCCTTGGGCGCTGCCTGCCCCGTGCGTGTCGCTTTGGGGTGGCCGCTGCTCCCGGTGACGCTCGCAGAGCTGTGGTCACGGTGCCCGGTAACCACAGGTCACGGTGCCCGGTAACCGCAGGTCACGGTTTGTTGCAGTGGATGCTCCAAGTGTGGGGACACGAGGCTTGATTTTATTTTTCTCTCAGAAGGCTGATTTATTATTATGTTATATATTATATTAAAGTACTACATTAAAACTATACTCAAAGAACAGAGAGAGAGAAGGATCAGAAGGTTGCAAAGAACAAGAATAGAACAGAGTAGAGTCTATAACAAAATCCTGTGACTGCTCGCAGCCTTGGCACGGGTGGCTGCGATTGGTCACTGATTGAAAACAATCCACATGGACCAGTGGAAGATGCACCTGTGGCATTCCACAGCAGCACACAGTTATTGTTTACATTTCTTTCCTGAGGCTCTCAGCTCCTCAGGACGGGAAAAAACCTAGGAAAGGATTTTTCATAAAATGTCATGGCTACAGCGGTGCCCGGTAGCCGCAGGTCACGGTGCCACCACTGTGCCTCTTGTTCTGCTGCTCACAGCCCCGTGTGGCACCGCGGGGCCGGGCAGTGCTGCCCGTGCTGTTCTGCCACCCAGTTTTGTGGTTTCCCCTGGGACCTTAAGCCCTTCCCCTGGCGCTGTCCCACTGCAGCTATCTCACAGCTCCGTAAACATCTGCACTTTGTGGGCTCCTTTTGGCTGGTTCTAGTTTACATTCTGATCTTTCCAAGAAGGGAAGCGTTGATAAATCCCTTCTGCATCTTTATTGTGTTCTTACCAAAGAGCCTGGAGTACTTTTAGGTGATATGTGCTGTTCGGTGGGGCACAGCCAGCCTGTGAGCATTGGCAGGGGGAGAACAACATCCCTCAGAAGCTTTGCTTTTCTCCTCAGTGTGTCTTCATTAAATCCCTGCAGCAGGCTGGATGTGGCCAGCAGGTGTGTCTGAGCGTGTTCAGAGAGTTTCTGGTTGGTGTTACACCTCGTGGATGTATCTGTGCAGTTTTGTCCAGCACGTCCCTGTGATTTCCATTTGCAGGTGCACACACACAGGTCTTGTGATCCTGCCCTTGCTGCCACAGGCTGAACATTTGGAACAAGTGCTTCATTTCCTGGCCAGGCATCCCTTTTTCCCCCGTTATAAGTCTGTGCCACACTGCCTCTGAGATCTGATTCTTCTAGCAATTAGATGAGTTCCCTTGTAGCTTCTCAACTCGGGAATTAATTTTGGATAATCAAGATTCTTCCTCCCTCCTCCTCCACCTCCTCCTCTGCCACCCCACAATACAGATCCTTGAATAAATTGCCCAGTTGACTTTCTTTGGGCTCTGTTTTATCCTTGCTTCATCCCATCTGTTTGTCTTTTAAAGTTTAGCCCTCTATTTTTAAGTTAAATAAAAGAGAGATTTCTTCCTCCATCCACGGGTATATTTATAGGATTCCTTGTGACTAATTTTAATCACTCTTCCCTCTTTCTTTCCCTCACCTCCCATCCCTTCAAAGAAGAAGTTGTGTGAGGCTTAACAATTGCTTGAAGCCAGCATGACTGTGTTAAAGCACAGGCATGAGAATGAATGTATTAATAAATAAAATTCTCCACATTGAAATACAGAGAAGTTCTTTAGGGACCAATTTTGTGCTTCTTACAGGATCGCTGTGTGGTTTTTGAGAACTCATTTCCTGGCATCCTTCAAATGAAATGTCTCTTATTTGTGTGTTTTAATCACTGTTAAAGTTGGATTTGCTGCAGAAATACCAAGCTTATGCTCTGGAAGCAATGGGGAATGATACAGAGCCTTCTGAAGGCAGGGTGGGATGAGGGATTAGGAGGGGAAGGCTGGCATCAACAACTTGAAAGGCACCTTTATCTCTGGGAAGCGGGAAGCTTAAATCAGGGAGGCAGCACACTGCCAGCAGCACTGGCCAGAGTAAGCTTGTTTAAAAACCAGCACATGTAGTCCAGCTTTTGCTCTTTGCCTGCACAGGAAATCTGCTGTGAAATGCAGCAATGTTGTGTCTCGTGGAGGCTGTGAGGAATCAAATGTGTGCCCTCTGCTCTGCTCCCTGGGCTGCTGAGGGCTGAAATGGCATTAACAGAACTGTGTGATGTCACCTCTTCTGCCAGAAGCTTTTCTTTTCCAGGGAAAAAGTGTGAGAAGTGCTTGTCAGGGGGAAGAGAGCCTGCCAGGGTGAAGGTGAGGACAGGGAAGGTCAGGAGGCTCTTTCCTTCTTGCTTTGCCTAAACTCTCATAATTGAGAATTCAGCCAGAATTTGAAGGAGCGGCTCCCTCGTTACTGTGCCTGGCCATCATCAACTCCAAGGGATTCAATGGCAGATTAAACACAAAACTTTCACTGAGCTGTGTCCCCAGAGCAGGCTGGGACAGTTTGCAGTGAAGGATCCCCCATCCTCTCCCAGGTGACACTTGTGGAAAGACAGAGTGCCTGTAGCTGCCCCTTGTTCAATCACATGGTTGAGTTGCTGATGATTAAATCTCACCCTTGCTTTGTGTTCCTGTGTGCACAAACTCCTCTGCATTGTAGTCCATTCCCCAGCCTGTCACAACCATGTCACTGAGTGCTGTGTGCCTGTGAGGTTCAGTGTATCAGCTCTTGTGGTTTTTAAGGAACTTCTTGTGCTTTTAAATTAAAAAAAAAATCCAAAAAACCAAACCTATCCATGGTCTGGCTTTGTTCCAGTCAGGTCTTTGGATAAATGAATTTGTAGTTGTGGATTCTTGCTGTTGATTGCCTGGAAGTGGAGACAAGTTTCTGGGTTGAAATAAGTAGAAACAGAGTTTTCTGAAAGCAAGCCTGTAGCAGATGTAAAAAGGAAGGACTGAAGTGCAGGAGTGAATTCCTTTCCAAACCTTGCAGGAAAGTCCTCTCCTGGGTAAGCGGGTGTCTTGGGGTTAGAATAAAAGAGAGCTAAAGGAGGAAAATTGTGTGGAAAATTGCATTCTTAAAGAAAATGTCCAGCTGCAAAAATTAATCTCCCAAATCCTCCAGCTCTTAAGCATTTAATGAGAGAAAATACTTGCATGGGGAGGAATATTAAACTCTGCCTTGCTTGGCTTGTGCTGGGATACTGGGCTTCCAGGGAGCTCCCATCTGCAGCCACCACGAAGGGTCAGAACCCTGAAACGTTGACAGGAATTCAGACCACATCCAGAAAAATGTGCTCCCTGTGGTGCTGGTGGTTTTCTGACTGCGCTGTGTAGGGGCTGGGTAATTTTTCTTTGCAGCTCCAGCAGCTGAAGGAGACAGGGAGAAGCTCTTGCATCACCTGGATGCACAGTAATGAATGTGAGCTGCCCTTCCCCAGCCCACATTATCTGAGCATCTCCATACAAACTGCAATTAAGCTCCCCAGCCCCTGCCTGAGGGCAATGACTAATGAGAAACTGAATTTCTACAGCAGGCAAGAAGGGAGATGTGAACCTGGCTTGGCCTTTCCCAAAATCCTGTCCTGAGAGTGATGAGAACCTGCCAGGGTTTAGTGATTTTCCATCCCTCCTGAACTCCTGGGAAATGTTTGAACAGAGCTCTCAAAATCCCTCCTAAGTGCAGTGTCTGTTCCCAACTACAAAGGCAGCGTGGATAGCCTTGAAACTCTAGGACAGTGTCTCTCCTTGAGCTGATGGGAGCTATAAACAATAAATGAGTGCACATTGATTTATCCTGTATTAGATCAGATACAAGATTCTCCTTTGCCTCCTGCATGGAAATTGCTGTAGCCTCAAGTAGAGTTTCAGTGTGTTCAGAGCAGAAAGTACAGCTCGGAGTGTTGTACATGGAACAATGGGATATTGTCTGTTTTCCCACACAATGGGTGATGGCAGGGGGAAAGAAGTCATCTTTCAACTCTGGGTTTTCACAAGAAAGCAACTGCATCTGCTATTGAGGTAAAAACTAATTATTAGGGAGGTGGGGGAGCAACTGCAACCGCCAAGAGTGATGTTTTCTAGAAGAATTGTTGGAAAATGGGAACTTGTAACTACTTTGAGTGAGGTGCAGTCTCACTTTCTGCTGCCTGAAAAGTGAATTGTCAGAAAACCAGAGCCAGCCTGGCCTTTTGGGAAGGTGAATTATTTGGGAAGGTGAATTATTTGGGAAGGTGAATATGTGCCTGGCACTGCTGGGGACGAGCAGGTGGCCCAAGGTGTGTGAAGAAAATGAGATTTCTGTGTTGGTGAGGTTGGAGGGGCTGCCCCAGGAGTGCTGGGTAAGGAATGTGGGTGAGGAACGCCCAGGGCCTGTTGGTAGAACAGTGTGCCCTTGCCTTGGGACAGTTCCCTGATGGAATGTGGGAAGGGGCTTTCAGCAGAGCTGTTCCTTTTGTAGCTGGCTGCTGGACACTCAGGTGGTGGTTCTGAACACAGTAATTACAGCATTAAAGGATGCTGTAGACACCAAACCTGTCTTTATTTTTTTTATTATTTTTTTTTTTAATCCTTTACCAACCCCCAGCTAAACACTTGAGATTTGGGGCAGTTAGTGTTCTTTTGAGGCATGTGAATTACCTGGATTTTGATGTATTGGCAGCCACAGAAATCTCTTCTGTGCTGGATCTGGTTCCAGAACAGGTTTGTGTTGGCAGTGAGAGGGTTAAGCCTGTCCATGTAGTCCACAGCTTCAGCCCATCTGGTCATGGCATCATATCAGGGAATCTGGAATGGTTTGGGTTGGAGTGGCCTCAAAACTCATCCTATTCCACC